CAGGGAGGACCCACGACGGCGGCTTAGCTGCGTTGAGATCGCCGGAGAAATTGGGAACGAGAACCCATATCATCTCCCACATTGTGAACGCCAACAGAGAGAACCCAACTCATGATCAAAGACAGAAATTAGAGAGATGAAGGGAGCTGGTGATGGATCTTTTTTGATGCCCAGCTGTAACAATGAAGCTCAACTTGGAAAGAGCTGATTATATTCTCACATAAGCACAACAGAGTCTCACGTACATCTCATTATTCAGAATGCCATAAAATTTCATCAAATATATGTAATAGTGTTTGCTTACACTATAGGGGAACCAGGGATTCGAAATTTCAATGTACACACCCATCAAATGCAAAAAAGCAATCCAATCGACAAATGAACCAATACAAAAGAAAGCTTTCTTGAGAACAATTAATTTAGAAATAAAATGCAAGCTTTGTGGGGGTTAACGAGGAGCTAACACCCCAAAAGGCATTCGAATCCGTTACTCTACGAGTGATGAAGTCAATTACTTATTGACCAACACTCTTGCCAAACCCCTGGGAAAAAAAATTAACCTACATATTTAATTAATCCACATATTTGGATGATCAAGTTCAGTTTGCGCCGCAGAAACTAAGAAATCCCATGTATTGATGCTGCCTGATCATGTCCACTGTCTTTTCTGCTCCAACCACGCCTATAAATGGGGGGAAAAAAGAATATATAGAAATTAATACGTGAATATCATCAAATATTTATTTAATATCATGAAATTTTTTTTATTATTACCCATTGTTATAGCACTTGCGAAAATAACCGCAGAGAGGATGAAGACGATGATAGAAGCTCGTTTAAGCACTTTCACCAGCTTTCGGACAAAGAATTGTCCCCAGAATCCAGCCAGCACGGACACAAAAATGAGGTACACGGCTGAAATAATTTTAAAAAACATGTCAAAATAATTGTTAATGGAATTGTATTTATATTTCTAAAATTTCATTTATTTCTTTTTTTATGGTGAAAGTTAGACAAATTGAACATACCGTAAGGAAATGGAAATCTCCCTAAGAAGTAGAACTCCACAACTGAGAGAGATGAGGAGAACAACATCACAAAGGTTGCAGTCGCGCTTGCAACCTACAAAAGATATGTAATTATAAATTAGAATAACCTTAAATGAAAAATTGCTAACAGACTACTTCTGATAAATTACTCATGGACAGGGCCGTACCTACGAATTTTGGGGCCCAAGGCGAAATATTAGATGAGGCCTAAGTGATACAACTCATAATACATTTTATCTCATTCTTCTAATTACCTTTTGAGCTGCAAATTTACTAATTAAAGTTTTATATTCATTATTTTCTAATATATTATTTTTGATAGATAATATTGCTAAACCATTCAACCTATCTTGTAACATGGTCGATCTTAAATAAGATTTTAGTAATGATAGATAATATTGCTAAACCATTCAACCTATCTTGTAACATGGTCGATCTTAAATAAGATTTTAGTAATTTTAATTTTGAAAAACTTCTTTCACAACCTATCTTGTAACATGGTCGATCTTAAATAAGATTTTAGTAATTTTAATTTTGAAAAACTTCTTTCAGCGAAGCAACTGTTACGAGTATAGTCAATAATACACAATAAGCAATACAAGTATTTGGAAAAGAATCTTACCACTTTATATAGTTCAACACTTCAATTGACTATTAATCACAACTTTTAAAATTTCCCTAAGCACTCTCAATTCTGAAAATAAATCAAGCCCATTAATATCTAAATGTTCATCATGTTTTAGTGTATTTTCGAGATTAAGACAATATTCTTTTAATTCAATATCATCTAAAGCTTTTAATTTTTTCAAATCAAACAAAAAACCAAAAATTTTCATACGTTTTAAATTGTTCAAACCTACTTTCAATTGAGCCAAGCGATTTATCAACTATGTATAAGAAATATTCAATACAAAAAGATTCTTCAACGTTAAATATTGTTTCATTACCATTATTTTCATCAAATTATTTTTTTCTATGAATTTTACGTTTTTCACGAAATATAGGTTGTACGTTCATTTTTTTTTTCTATGAATTTTACGTTTTTCACGAAATATAGGTTGTACGTTCATTTCATTAGCAAGTTCTTTAGTTGAATTCAAAGCAGACATAAAACCATTTTGTCTATAATTTTCTAAATATACAATAAGACCCTTTAATTGATCTATGACAATATCAATATGCGTATCTTTAGATTGTAAGATTTTACTAACTGAATTAACAGCAAATAGTATGTCATACCAAATATTTATAGCTAATAAGAATTCAAAATTTTCAATCTCATAAGTTGCTAAGCTATTGGCTTCACATTTATCTTTGGGTGTTTGCTAATTTCTACTGATTGAATCAAAGAATTTCTTATATTTGGAGCTTGAAATTTTATTGCTTTAACACTTTTAGTCCGACCTTCCCATGTAGTTTGACATAAAATATTGAACTCCCCGTGAAAACTTAAACTAGAGTACCTAATGAGTCTACGATCTACGACATTTAAAACAAAAATTATTCTCAAATGCCAAAGTAAATGTATCAGCTTCTTCTAGTATGAAACAATTAACACAGAAAATCCGTACACATCTAATTTTGATAATAGCTACATATCGTACTCAAATTCGAATCCAGTATATCCATGAAAGATGCTTGGAAAATTAAAAATATCAAGGAAATGAGACATCATGCTATTTGCTCTAGATTACTTGAGAGAGATTAACAAGCAAACCCTAGAAATCGCGAAGAAAGGGGGAAAAGGAGCCCCTTTGAGAGAGGACTGCTGCATGCTCACAGAGAAACCCTAGATTCTGAAATAGAGAAGAAATTTAGAAGCGGTTGTAAATATTATTTATAGGTTACTGTGAATGACTCGTGAACGTCCGATGAATGAGCAGTGTGATTACGATTTCGGACCCCAATAACGGATTAGGTAGGCGTTAACAACCGGATCAACCCGACCCACAAGAGTTGAATCCTCACGACTCTAGAGAGGAAGCTATTTATATTTTATAAATCCTTGCATCATTAGGAGATGACTGGAGCCTGACGTTGAATCCCGGGTGGGCCCTACCCAAGCTGAGGCCCAAGGCAAATGTCTTAATTGCCTTAAGGTAGGGCCGACCTTGCTCATGGACCAGGAGGTAAAATATTTCAACATGTTAATTTACATGTAGGGGCTGTTTGGTTGTATGTTTTTACCATGTAAAAGGATGGAAAGTGTAAAAAAGTGGGTCCCAATGGGGCTGTTTGGTTGTATGTTTTTACCATGTAAAAGGATGGAAAGTGTAAAAAAGTGGGTCCCAATGTTAGCTTTCATCACTTTCAATTGTTTTACCATGTAAAAGGATGGAAAGTGTAAAAAAGTGGGTCCCAATGTTAGCTTTCATCACTTTCAATTGTTTATTTGTAGCTGTGAAAATAGTGTAAAGTGATTTCATATACTGATGTGGCTTGTAAAGTGATTTCATAAAAAAAAGACATGATTTTAGGAGAAATCTAACATTAAAGTTAGAAAAAATAATAAAAAATAATTCCAACCAATATGATCATTTGAGTATGGACCATTTTTTACACTTTCCAAACAAACAAATTAAAGTTACATTTGCAAACCAAACAAGCAATTTATGATTCCAATGGAATAAAAAACAAACAAAGGAAAATATAAAAGTGAAATTGATGAGGTGGACAACAACTTTTCAAGTTGTATCATAAATACACAACTTTACCAACAACAACCAAACAGCCCCGTACATCTTACGTACTGTAGAAAGTTAGTCACTTAGGGGCTGTTCGTTTCGCAAAAAAAAATTAGGAAATCAAAGAATAGGATACCTATTTCCTATAATAATTGTTTTGAGGTTGTTTGGTTGGCTTAAAAAAGAAGAAAACTATAGAATAGTAGATGAGATGAGATGAGTTGTCACCTTATTATTGGATGATGTGAGTGATTTTAAAAAAAAACTTTTTTTGAGGTTGTTTGGTTGGTTAAAAAAAATAAGAAAATGAATTGGAGATATATTATTGGATGTTGTTTTGAGGTTGTTTGTGTTTGGTTCATTTTTAAAAATAAGAAAATAGATGAGATGAGATGGGTTGGAGGTATATTATTGGATGATGTGACACATACTTAAGGAATTCAATTTCTTATTTTTTTTGAGGAAATGGATGGCAAGGAAGGTTTAGGGCCCGTTTGGTTGCTGAAAGGAGGAGTTGAAATGGGCAGAAAGCCTGTCAAAACTGACAAAAACTGTCAGTTTTGACAGGTTTTCCAGGTTTTCTTGCAAAAACGCCCCTAAAATATCGTTTTTGTAAGAAAGCCTGCCAAAACTGACAGTTTTTATCAGTTTTGTCAGGCTTTCCCAAGCCCTCTTCAGCAACCAAACGGGCCCTTAATGAGATGAGATGAGTTGTCACAATATTATTGGATGATGTATGTGATTTTTAAGAATGAGATAGATGAGATGTGATGAGTTGGATGATGTGACGCATCTCTTGTGTTTGGTTTATTTTTAAAGGTAAGAAAGGAGATGAAATGAGATGAGTTGGAGGATAAAAATATTATTTTATTGGATGTTGTGAGTGAGTTTTAGGGATGAAAATGGATAAAAATATTATTTTTTTGATTTCCATGTACCAGTTTCCTTTTCTTGGTTTTTAGGAAACCAACCAAACGGCCCCTTACTATATCTGTAATTAATTAATTATTTATTTACAGTACTTAAGTTCCAGGATCCTCAATTTGTGTTGGGGAAATAATGTACACGTCATGGTTACAGACCAGTGTGGTTGTTCTATTTAGACATCAGAACATCTAAATGCCAATAAATAAGTTTAGGAATAATAAGCGGACCATGCTGGGTGAATGTAAGTTTGGAGTGTACAAACCTGAGGGATGACGCCGATCTCGAGGAGGAGAGGGCCGAGGATGAAGCCACCGCCAGAGCCGAGGAGGCCGCCGACGGTTCCACCGAGCAGTCCACAGAGAGCACAGAAGAAGAGTTGCAGAGTGCTCCACTCGATTGAAGCCTCACACACGCACTCGGAGTTGCCGTGGATCCTGCGATCTTTGCTCTCCCTGTACAGCTTCATTGCCTCCCAGAAAAAGACTATGAATGCCACCGGAATCTGATCATATATGCGCGATATTGGTTATGGTGTTCATGCAAAGCAAGTGAAATTTGGACTAGAAAAGTTTTAATATCTTTTGCAAATAGTACAATAATGAATAAAGATAAATATAAATTGCATAGTGTTCAATTGTGTAAAGAGTTAAGTGCACAGAGACCCCCGTAGGATCATTGTTTAGCACATAGACCGCTGGGTTAAATTTTTTATTACTCCTTTACCCTTGTCAAATTTGTCCCCATCTAACCCTCTCCACATTGCTTCTAATATTGGGAGATATACCATATTTTGGACAGGTGCTGCAGATGAGAGGCTCGCAAGGAGACTGCGTAGGGCTGCATCAAACATCGGACTCCAGGAGCTTGCTAACAAGATTGTCAAGGCAGATGGGGACAACCTCTCACCCAGCTACCCAAATCAGGAATCTCCATAGCTGCTGCTGGTTAAGGACACCTCCCCTAAATTTTGGATATCTGTAGCTACTTCTCATATCAAACAAGTTGCTAATATTTTGAAATCTGTTTCGGTTTCCACTACTTTGGAAAACTGGTTATGCTTGATGTTCTAGTAGGTTGTTGTTTATCCTCTTTTGTAATTATGTATTATGCACCAACTACCTAAGTAGAATCGATGGGGGTACAGTTTGGTAGGTGACGACATATGTCCGCTCCTTACCTACTGCATTCTCACCGGCTCTACATCTAGTTAGTGACGCTCTGTTGTATCGGTTTTGTATCTCTGTTTCCTATTAATAATAGTTTTTATAAGCAGGGCCTTTTACCCTGCTTTTTCAGCTCAAAAAAAATTTGTCCGACATCGCACCTGGGTGAGATTTCGTTAGTCTATTTGAGGGTAAAAGAGTAGAGGGGCACTACAGGCACACCATCAACCACACCTCTTCTCCCGCTACAGTGCAGCGGGTCCCATATGAAAATTTTTAAAAAATTTCATATGGGGCCCGCTACAGTGCAGCGGGTCCCATATGAAAATTTTTAAAAAATTTCATATGGGGCCCGCTGCACTGTAGCGGAAGAAGAGGTGTGGTTGATGGTGTGGTTGATGGTGTGTCTGTATCATTTTCCAAAAGAGTAAACAAAATGAGCGTGGATGTCTATCGGCAACAATAAAACTACAGTGCTAGTAAGTTCAAAATAGTGACACCGCACGTGGACGTGGTAACTAATTAACCATTATTTAATGTGGATCGAAAAAACAACTCATCCTAGCTGTCGCCAAGTACACTAATTTACTAAAAAATAGTTTGATGTTGTTTTCACTAATTAAAAAAAGTTTATAATAATTTGGACAGAACATCCCAAAATTTAGTAAGGGCCTGTTCGTTTGGCCAAAAAAACTGGGAAATCAAACTTTAGGAAACCTATTTTCTATTATAATTACTTTGAAGTTGTTTGGTTGGTTTAAAAAAAAAGGAAATTATAGAATAGGAGATGAGTTGTCACCTTATTATTGGATGATGTGAGTGATTTTTTTAAAAACTTGTTTTGATGTTGTTTGGTTGGTTAAAAAAATAAGGAAATGAATTGGAGGTATATTATTGGATGATGTTTTGAGGTTGTTTGTGTTTGGTTCGTTTTTAAAAATAAGAAAATAGATGAGATGAGATGAGTTGGAGGTATATTATTGGATGATGTGACATGTACTTAAGGAAATTAATTTCTTGTTTTTTTTTGAGGAAATGGGTGGAAAGGAATGTTTAATGAGATGAGATGAGTTGTCACAATATTATTGGATGATGTGTGTAATTTTTAAAAATGAGATAAAATAAGATGTGATGAGTTGGATGATGTGACACATTTTTTGTGTTTGGTTTATTTTTAAAGGTAAGAAAGGAGATGAAATGAGATGAGTTGGAGGATAAAAATAATATTTTATTGGATGTTGTGGGTGAGTTTTAGGGATGGAAATGGATAAAAATATTATTTTATTGATTTCCTTGTACCGATTTCCTTTTCTTGGTTTTTAGGAAACCAACCAAACAGCCCCTAAGTTAGTTTTGTGAAATTCGGTACGCTGCTTGTACATAATTCTTATTTTAAAAGTTATTCTGGATGATGACATAACACTTTGTGGTGATATCAAACGACATATTCTAAATGATTCACTTCTTGCGACATCTAACCATAATACAGATCTATTTATTTGCTAAATAAGTTTGTTTAGTACAATAAAGACGGAGACGTCCATCCTTGGACGAACAGCGACTCCAAATCACAGAACAATCACGTTAACAGCATGTGACCGACGTGCCAGCTGTTTAGATTGACGGGGCCTAGCTGATATCTTAAATTAGAAGCAATTTATATTAATCACGCATCCCCTATAGACGACGATAATAATATTTGGCCAAGTAAGAATTACTGAGGAAATTTGTGAAAAACGTCACAGTTAACAAAGGCCAACCCTACTTCTCCTTAAAGAAATGATACAGACACACCCTCAGTCACACAATCGCCCACTCCCCCTCTTTTGTTACAGTGTAGGCGGGCCACTTGAGATTTAACAAGTGGTTCCCCTGCACTGTAACAAGAGAGGCGGGTGTGAGCGAAGCTGTAACTGAGAGTGTGCCTATAGCACCACTCTTCACCTTATGTTCTTTTTATTACGTGTCAGATTTTCATAAGAGAAGGCATAGATTGAATGGACCACTCAGTGGCAGTGGTGACCATTAGCCAATTAAATTTGAATCTACTACATAATGGATTATGTAGTAGGCATCTTCTCGGATTTTGTGTCCGTGCAGTCCAATTGCCGTAAACATTATGAAATTTTAAAATAATTATTGCCGTAAAAATTATGAAATTTTAAAATAATTGATTCATAGGGTAAGAGGATACATAGGTAGTCTTGTTTGATGCAGCCGCTTGGATTTGTTGATTTCGATGGGGGGAGAGTGTTTAAGCTCTCGTTTGGGTTCCTGACTTGTTGTGGATTGAGTCCGTTGAAGTGAGTTGTTTTCACTTCGTCCTGGACGCAACAAGTGTGACATTTGGATGTTTTGGTGTCGGTTCAGTTTTGGTAGAAACGTTCGCCGAGGTGAAGAATTGAAGAAATAACGAACGAGACGAAGAACAGTTTAGAAAATCACAGAAAAACTACCAGGATGTTTGTCGGTCGACCGCGAGTCAGCGGCGGGCGGCCGAAAACGTGCACGAAGTCCAGATGCGTTCTGGAGCTGAAGGCGGTCGACCGCCATGGTCGACCGCAGAGACCCTGTAATCGATTTTGGTCTCGGGAATTGATTCGATCGACCGTCGCGGTCGACCGTGAGTACCCTATAGGATTTTTGTGTTCTGTCGTAGGGTGTGCGGTTGACAGCGTAGCGATTATTTTCTGGGTTACAGGTTTTGACCCGGTTCGTTTCTGAGTTGATATATAAGCCTAATCCTAATTAATTAGGGTTAAATAAGGATGTTTTGAGCAGTCTTTGAGAGGGGATTGTTACATCCAATTGTGGGAGATTTGTGAGAGATCTAAAGGCTTTGTTTTAGGGTTTATTTGAGAGATTTGTAACCCTATTTGTATTCTCTTGATTTCTAATAGTAAGAACTCCCCCTTCCTTGCCCCGTGGACGTAGGGAACTTACCGAACCATATAAAATTCGTTTGTCTTACTATGGTATTGTGTTTAGCTTATTGGTTGTAATTTATCTCTTTCTTGTTCGTGTGGTTTCGAGCTCCGCTGCGCACAACAAGTGGTATCAAAACTTTAGGTTTGACTTGAGGCTTGTTCGAAGAATTCAGTGAAAAATTCATATTTGAAGAGTTAGATCGACAACATGAGAGAAACTAGCACATCAGGTTGGTCTGTTACGAAGAGGATACAGAATCATTCAGTGGCAGTGGTCACTATTAGCCAATTAAATGACAACCCTATTTCACCTTATGTTTTTTTTATTACGTGTCAGATTTTCATAAGAAAAGGCGTAGATTGAATGGACCACTCAGTGGCAGTGGTGACCATTAGCCCATTAAATTTGAATCTACTACATGATGGATTATGTAGTAGGCATCTTCTCGGATTTTGTGTCCGTGCAGTCCAATTGCCGTAAACATTATGAAATTTTAAAATAATTACTGCCGTAAACATTATAAAATTATGTTCTAAAATTATTTTCACAAAATACTCGCATTAAAATTATTACCGAGGTACATAGCTGAGCCTGAGCCACACAGATGCATGGGAGGGGGGCAATATTGGTATTTTGTTGCTCACATGGCTGGATGAGATCATCCGCCTCACATGGGGTGTTCTTATATATATATGATAAATATACTCTACACAATGGCCCCTATGTCATGCTATAATTAAGAAGTGACAAAATCATATAAAAAGATGTAGGGCGAGGATACAAAGTACTAAGGATTTGGATTAGAACTCATAAAAGTATGAGGTCTTACCTGCAAAATGTTGAGGATCCAGTACGTGGGGCTGCACTCTTTTGTATCATTCTGCATAAAAGTTCAAAATTTATCTAACTTTATCTCAAAAAGTTCAAACCAAAAAGCATCTCGTGAGATAGAGAGGGGGAGAGAGAAGAGAAGAGAGGAGATACATACTTTGATGATTTGAAGGAGCAAGAAGCAAAACCACACAATCATCAATACCAGGATTCCTTTCCACCTTAGATTCAAAAGCAATATATCCTATTTTCATAAAAAAAGAAACAAAACATCTAATTCATATGAGCTGATAATGATAGTACAAAGAACACCAAATTTTTAGTTACTTTTTCCTTATTTTATGGAAATTATTAACTCTCTTACTTACAAGATTGGATTTCTCTTCTTGAGCAAGTAGAGGTTCATACTCTGCATCAATGATTGCTGAATGAAAAAAAAATATAAAAACCACCATAACTAAAATTAAAAATGTCAAAGATAAAACAATAGAAAATATATTTATGAGTTCCTTTTAAAAAAATGTGTACCATCTCTTTGGCTAGACTTGGCCTCTTCTCTCATCCCCATTTCCGCCTGCATGCAATTAAAAAGCAATTAAAAATTTATTCACACGCTGTTTTAATCGATAAGTAAATTACTAGAAAATTAACCAACCTTCAGAATTGTCTCTTGCTTCCACATCTGAATTCCTTTAAAGAAAGACCTTGATGATGTACCTGACATGTATATTAAGATTAAATGAGAAGAATTATATATAAGATACTTGAAAACATAGAATGTAAGCGCAAAGCTAATATATGAAGTGAAAATGAAAGTGTAAATTTCACAAAACCCCCCCTAAATTTAAGGGAGTTCCATACAATTACAAGACCCATCTAAGCTTAAAAAACAGAGAAAACCTAGATAACTTTTCAGAAGTGTAGATCGAAAACCTGTTGAGAAACGTACATGTTTATCTTAGAAACATGTGACAGCTTAAACTAATTGCCGTAAATCATAATATTTAATTAACTAACGCGAGTTGTCATAAGTTTAAGGGTTTTAATTAACGCAAAATACCAAACAGTCGGAAGATTTTTTGTGAAATTGACCCAAAATAAAGTACAATCATCTTGTTTTTAAAATGCTGAATTAAACACCAGAAAGTCTAGGAAACTAACCACAGAAAAGAATGATGATAAGAACCGTGATGAGCCAGTAAGGAAAGACGACACTTAGAGAAACTCCAATGGTGATCCCGAGCATCAACATGGGCTGAAATAGCAAAGCTAGATCGTAGTCTATGATCGGAACTTCCTTTGATGGGTGAGAAACACGAAGATTGTACCAAACCGATGAAGCAGAGGCTCCCATGATCATACCTTCATTTTGAATGGGGGGGGGGGAAATTTTTTTGCTTTAATAATTTGCAAATTTGTTTATATAAATGTGATAAAAATAAAATTTACATTTTTTATTGGTCTTTTACATTTTGAGAGGGCAGCTGCTGATTTGGTGTCGAATCCGACGACGAGGTTGAGCATCGGCACGAATATCCCGCCACCTCCGACTCCACCTACGGTACCGAAAGCACAACCCAAGAATCCGATAACGGTCACAAGTACGGTGCTCCAGTTGAACTCCAAGTCCTGAATTTCACAATTTTTTAAAGAAACTTTAAATAATCAACTTCTAGAAAAGAAAGAATATCCAAACGACACAGCCCTCCAATTAAACTTCTCCTTTTTCCACCCCTTTATTATTATTATTTGTTTTTTTCTTTCATTGTAACTATGTGTATATTCTGTACGTGCCCAGTATTCCTACCGCTGTTACTAGAAACGAAAGAGTAGACGCAATAACATAATTGAATCTCGGGTACGATTTTGGCTTCAGATCACGAGAGAAAAAAAAAACAACCTCAAATTTCGGAAACTTAAGCTGTCTTTTACTTGGATGTTGTTACTAGTCCCCAGTTAGAGCTAAATCATCCTTAATTACTTTCACAATGTTTAGTCAATTAAACCTCAATTTTAACTTGGGTATTGCGGAAGTTCGAATGGGTTAACTTTAATACAATTAGACAAAATAATAATAATAATAACAATAAGATTCAAGAGATAATGAAAAAGGGAAAAGACTGAACTCACCGGCCACACTCGAACGCTTCGAGAGAGAAGACGCCTGCGGGAGTCATTTGAAGAAGATGAAGACACGAGGAAAGCAGAAGCGACCGCAACCGAAGAGGCGGCGAGAAAATACGCCATGAATCTCTTAGTACTTCCACCATTAGAAGCAAGGCTCACGCTCGAATCCATGACCTCAAGGGAGTGCTAATTAATAATAAACTTTTGAACAATGAATTCTGGTTTCGGCGAGATAAATAAATAAATAATGGGAATACAAGCGGCGGCGAGGGGGGAAGAAGGAAGAGGGAGTAGAAATATGGCTTGTGAGGTGTAGAAATGGAAGACGTATAGAAAATACGCCATGAATCTCTTAGTACTTCCACCATTAGAAGCAAGGCTCACGCTCGAATCCATGACCTCAAGGGAGTGCTAATTAATAATAAACTTTTGAACAATGAATTCTGGTTTCGGCGAGATAAATAAATAAATAATGGGAATACAAGCGGCGGCGAGGGGGGAAGAAGGAAGAGGGAGTAGAAATATGGCTTGTGAGGTGTAGAAATGGAAGACGTATTTATAGAAAGAGCACGTATATATGGATTCCTATGCAAGAGAATGTGTTGACTAAATCCCCCCCCTTACGAATTTTATATGGTAGCTAATCATTTACCATTGTACGTTACCAAGAGAAGGCAAACTTTACATTTCTATCATATTAATTAATACAGAAAAAGTACTATTTGATTAGCTAACAGTGGGTCCCTTGAAATGTACGTTCGATAGGCGAGGACGGTTGGGTATTCATGGTTTGGGCTTTAAATCATGCGGTCCATTTACGCTTATTAGTGTTTACGACGGGATATTATACGTATACATATGGAGAGAAATCTTAGAATTTCTTCCTTGGTATGAAAACTTGTTCAACCAATCTCTGTCATAAAATTTTGTCACTACAAAACCATTGTGAAGTTTCATTCATTTTTTTTGGCTTTGATATCATGAAGTTTAAATTCCTCCAATGTGATAGGTTTACCTGTCTTGTATTTTAGTATATCTAGTTAGTTGATTGTGTTGGATATTCTGTTAAAATTAGGTCTCTTTGATATCATCCAATTGCTTTTGGATATTTGTATTCTTAGAATGAAGGGAAAAATGTGTCCGGGCCCCAAAAGCGGAAAGTTCATGTGACCCGCCCCCTTGTATTCTGACCCATGTGTATAAGCCCCAAATACACATTGTATTTGTGTTAAGGCCCCAAGGTACCAGATCCTGAGAAAAGCCCAACAAAAGTTACAAATTTACCCTTTGATTTGATTGAGCTTGGTAACTGCGCCCATCCCTTTAACCCCATCCCATCTCTCTCTCTCTCTCTCTCTCTCTCTCTCTCTCTCTCAACTTCTGGAAGACGTATTTATAGAAAGAGCACGTATATATGGATTCCTATGCAAGAGAATGTGTTGACTAAATCCCCCCCCTTACGAATTTTATATGGTAGCTAATCATTTACCATTGTACGTTACCAAGAGAAGGCAAACTTTACATTTCTATCATATTAATTAATACAGAAAAAGTACTATTTGATTAGCTAACAGTGGGTCCCTTGAAATGTACGTTCGATAGGCGAGGACGGTTGGGTATTCATGGTTTGGGCTTTAAATCATGCGGTCCATTTACGCTTATTAGTGTTTACGACGGGATATTATACGTATACATATGGAGAGAAATCTTAGAATTTCTTCCTTGGTATGAAAACTTGTTCAACCAATCTCTGTCATAAAATTTTGTCACTACAAAACCATTGTGAAGTTTCATTCATTTTTTTTGGCTTTGATATCATGAAGTTTAAATTCCTCCAATGTGATAGGTTTACCTGTCTTGTATTTTAGTATATCTAGTTAGTTGATTGTGTTGGATATTCTGTTAAAATTAGGTCTCTTTGATATCATCCAATTGCTTTTGGATATTTGTATTCTTAGAATGAAGGGAAAAATGTGTCCGGGCCCCAAAAGCGGAAAGTTCATGTGACCCGCCCCCTTGTATTCTGACCCATGTGTATAAGCCCCAAATACACATTGTATTTGTGTTAAGGCCCCAAGGTACCAGATCCTGAGAAAAGCCCAACAAAAGTTACAAATTTACCCTTTGATTTGATTGAGCTTGGTAACTGCGCCCATCCCTTTAACCCCATCCCATCTCTCTCTCTCTCTCTCTCTCTCTCTCCCATCTCTCTCTCTTTCTCTCTCTCTCTCTCTCTCTCTCTCTCTCTCTCTCTCTCTCAGCTTCTCCTTCTCTCTCACTTCCGTCATGGCCGCTGAAAATGATCAGACCCTGGGGAGGTCGTGGAAGGCGAAGGCGATGACGGTGGTCATGAAGTCGGAGGTCGAGGAGTCATCTTAGAAACAGCTCGTGAACGCGGGTTCAACAACAAACACGGAACATGGTCCGGGGACCCGAACACGGAACATGGTCCGGTGGGACCCGCGAGCTGACGGAGCCCGGAGCTTTGGTCCGATGCATCGTTGTTCTCCCCTTTCTAAGTTACGGAATATCTTTACCCAAATCAATGTCTTAATCAAGATAGTGCTCTTGTTTTTTTGTAATTTATGAAGGGAATCGATATTGGGTTTTTGTAGTTTTTCTCTTTCATTTAATTGAAATGGGATCTCCTTGGATTCTTGAACAGCGGTTTGGGTTTTTCTTTAATGCCTTTTTATTGTGTGATTTGGTGATTGATAGAGTTTTGTATAAGAGATTAACGGCAGAAATTCAAAAGCTCACATTGAATCTTCAGGCATATCGACATTTAGCTAAAAATTGAAGATAATGTCATCTCTTACGTTAGTTCTACCCGCTTTCGTGATATGTTATCTCCTACGTTAGTTCTGTTCGCTGCCATATTAGTTCTGTCCGTTCTACCTTCTTTATGAGAACATTATAAACAACAATATCAGGATGAACACCATTTTTAAGCATCATTCTTAAAGTTTAAACCCAACAATTAGATTGCTATGCTTGCACAATCAATCGACCAAACTACAGTATGCTATGACATCTGGCATAAACCCCCTCTTTAGTATTTGAAAGAAAATTATTGTTGCTTCTTTCAACATTCCTTGCACAGCCACTCCCTTGAGAAGGATGGTGAAAGTAACTACATCAGGTATGAGCTTGTGTACCCCCAATTGTCTATAGATTTTATGTTGGGGAAAATAACTACATGAATTAGAACTAGAACTAACTTGCTCTTTAAATATATATTGTAGGTGTAGTGGTTTGAACTCCTGACCTCCTCTCCAAATTCCCAAGCTTTACCAATTGACCAAGTAGCCAAAGTGTTAATGTTAGTTCCACTTAAATCTGTTTTGTTAGTTCTATTGTCTGTTTTGATAGTTCTAATTGACTGTTTTGTTAGGTCTATGTCTGTTTTGTTAGTTCTATTGTCTGTTTTGTTAGTTCTAATGCTCAGTGTGTTAGTTCTAATTGACTGTTTTGTTAGGTCTATTGTCTGTTTTGTTAGTTCTATTGTCTGTTTTGTTAGTTCTAATAGACTGTTTTGTTAGGTCTATTGTCTGTTTTGTTAGTTCTATTGACTATTTTATTAGTTCTATTGTCTATTGTCTGTTCTGTTAGTTCTAATGCTCAGTGTGTTAGTTGTGTTAGTTATTTTGTTAGTTCTATTAACGCTCTTGTTAGTTGTAATGAGAGTTAGTTCCATTAACGCTCAGTGTGTTAGTTCTATGTGTTTTCGTGTTAGTTCTAATGATCAGTGTGTCAGTTCTGTACAGTGGCATGCTAGTTCTAATGTGTAGCATGTTAGTTCTATTAGGTACAATGTCTGTTTTGTTAGTTCTATTGTCTGTTTTGTTAGGTCTATTGTCTGTTTTGTTAGTTCTATTGACTATTTTGTTAGTTCTATTAGGTACAATGTCTGTTTTGTTAGTTCTATTGTCTGTTTTGTTAGTTCTAATGCTCAGTGTGTTAGTTCTGTTAGTTCTATTGTTAGTTCTATTAACGCTCTTGTTAGTTCTATTGTCTGTTTTGTTAGTTCTAATAGGTACCATGTTAGATCTATTCGGTAGAACTAACATGAGTTATTGCTCATGATAGAGTTCAAAAAAGGGCGGGAAATTTCCCTCTATTTTTTCCATCAGATCGCATTAATGGGCGTGACTTTCCATGTAGTTTGTGGACCAGACGTCTAGGGAAGATAAGTGGAGGGGTAATTTCGGGTTTTTTTTCAAAATACAATCTCTTTTTTTATACTGCTGACGTGGAGGGGCCTTGAAATATTAAATGGTACTTTTTGGGGCTGAATCACATGGGGCAAAATACAAGGGGGCGGGTCACATGAACTTTCTGTTTTTGGGGCCTAGACACATTTTTCCCTAGAATGAAATACCCCCATGTCCTTTTTCTTCTATTGTGTTTGAACAACTATCGAAGGGTAGAAGTATCTTATCGTATTCTCATGATTAAGTAGCGCTATTGGCTATTCTCTTCAAAAATTCAGATTATCTTTTAAGTAGCCCTAAGAATTCAGTGCATTAAAGTAAAACATAAATGAAATTTTGATGTATTAAAATGAAAATAACTCAAAATTATTAAAAACATAACTAGACTCATGTTATAGTTTGCGAGGAGTATGTGATGCTGTAAATGAGATGTGTGATATATAAGAATATAGTTTGAAAGTATAGGAGATTTGTGGAGGAAGTAGACAAGTCAATGAATGGGGCAAGGCTGACAAGCAATTTCGGTGAGAGATTTGTAGAGATGGATGTCCTGTCTTCTTGTGGAGCCGAGGACATTACATGGCACATGAGTCTTATGTCATAGATTTATTTCATTATGTATTTAATTTGTTTGTCAGAAAAATGTGTCCCGTTTAAAACTCGAGTGATTAATGATACGATGGGATTAGTGAATAAGAGTTTCATTTTGTTATAATTCTCATGTTTTTACCCCCGCTACAAAGGAGAATAGCTTGACATGAAATTGAAGAGTAACAAGTGGGGGCATGACATGAAATTCAAGAACTACCCACTTATAGACATTATTCTTTGCAATGTCTAGGCCTCTCCAAATTGTATGTACCTCACCTCCTAAGGCAGAACAAGCCAATTCTCATATTTTCTGTTTGAGGAATTTGCATCCACCCTCATATGTTAGACCTCTCTAGGACTTTTATTCCCTTTCCCTTCCCCTCCTTATCAGTATCATTAATTTGAATTACTCCTAAATACCCCTCTACCACTTCATCGCCATCAACATCTCAAATCTCAACAACCTTCTTAACTTCTCCTTTTCCTTTGTCATTGGGAGATATCAACCTCACCT